CTAAACTATTGAGGTATGACCACCGGACAATCAAAGATTTTGATGCAAATAGCCATTGTAGTTGCAAAAAACATAAGGAGAAGAAAAAGTGCAAATTAATTCTTTTCAAGTCTCTTGCAGTAAAACATGAATCTGCTAGGAACCAATTATCCTCCAGTGACATGTTGCAGAACTGTAACCTGCCTCATTATAATACCTTGCTACATTATGAGCGTTATTGTACACTTTGGGACAAATATAGAGGTAGCTCAATCTGCTTAAAATTTTAACCATATCTTATGTACATGAGGTAGAACATTGTGGTGAAAATCACAAGCATCAATGTCTTGTGGACCCCCCCTTAAGGGGTGCCTACTGGTATGGGCTGCTGTCATTATGGTTGAGCTAGCTGGACATTTTTGGGTTGAAGATGGACTGAAAAATCAGCTTCCTGACGTACTGCCATGGTCTGCAAGGTTACTCTCTTCTTCCTGTACCACTGTATGAAGTCAAAGGCCATGAAGTTTATGTAGGACAATGATCCATCACAGGCATGCAAGCACTCCACTGCTTTCCTGACCAGCAAATGGTCCGAAAGATGGCCGAATAATGACCCGGCCCCCCTTGTCACCTGAAAGTCCTGGTTGAGAACATGTGGGTCCTTCTCAAATATGAGATTTACAGTGAGGGACGACAATACACCTCTTTGATCATGAACAGATGTAGAAACTGACAGACAGTGTGGATGGAAGCAGTGGTGGATTAACTAGTTCAGGACCCTCTAGGCTACACTCTGTGGGTCCCTCTTCTGCCCCTCGTATTATAATGACTATATAATAATTTCTACGAAGTCACAGAAAATGTGATCGCTCTCATTTGATACAGCGTCACATCGGAGGAACAACAAACCCGCAAGCTTACACTTCCACATGAGTCACATGCAGCAACCAGAAATGGCTTAACAGAGACCTCATTGAATAAACACATCTCAGTAGCAGTAACCTTAAAACATTACACTCTGATCCAGTGCATGTCAACTGCATCCACAATCTGCGCTCAATACACAACTACCATAGATAGCAAAGACCATAGATAACTGTACAGAGAGGGGCAAATTCCACAAGAATACAAAAACAAGTTCTTACTATCCTTCGTGCTTTCCTGGCATGAAATTTATTGATCAGGCTTGTAAAATCCATTTTACGGAGGAAACAGACTATGCATACCAGAAAATACACAACTGTGTAAAAAAGATCCCCAAAAGGGAGGCATTTAGAATTGGTCTCTCCATTTAGTTTTAACCAATCACCAACTTGCAAACAAGCAAATAGCCAATGAAGGATCAATTTTAAAAATAGTAATTGATCAATCAATCAATTAATTAATTAGTGACTAAGTTTTGTAACTGCAAATTGTAAAAAATGAAATAATGGTTTCGATATTGGTATTGGTGAGTCATCCCTAGTTAGAACGCAAATTATTATAATCAAACCTGGTTATATGTAGACATTCATACAATTAATAAACACACTTGAAGAAAGTAACAAAACATTGTTATATGAGCAGAAATCATAAAAGTAATGCCTAAAACCAAGCAATGTGTCTATGTAACTTCAAATGAAAGTTTTGCTTTTCCTATTGTAGACTTTACCATAAGCAGTAAAACCTTACAGCCTCACACACAGCGACTCATTCTTGTTGGAATGAGTAGTGGTAGCTAATATGTTTGCCCACAATTGCTGGTAAACGATGCTGATTGAAAGGTTTAGCTAGTCTATCGGAAACAAACCTATTTACCCAGAAATCAAGCCTTCTTTAAACAGCATTTTTTCTGATTAAAGGCAGACATTAAATGAAATTTTTATCTGCTGAACTGATCTTCCATCTATCCATGCACCAACCAGTTCTCCAGTTGAAGATTGTGGTGTCAATTTGTCTGTCTGTCTGTCTGTCTGTCGGTCGGTCACAGTGATTACAGTGTCAGGTTTTCTAGATGAAGTAAAAAAGACAAAAACCAAAATGTCAATGCTAGGAAAATTAAAAAATATTCCTTCACATGAGAAGCTGGTCAAGTATTGCTGAAAAACAGTTGGTAATTAGTACATATAAATGCACATGTATACAATTTATAACAATAATTGGAGGGAGGACAAAAATACACAGTACTGTAGATCCATTAACTCATTAGGTTATACGAGTGAATTTTAGGATTTAAAGCTTGTTACATAGATGTTAGACATGGATATCGGTATGGAAAACTCAGTTGCAATTTTTTTCTTAAACACCCATGCTGTAAGGTTGACCAGCCAATTATATTATTAGTTCATGTTAAACTCAGTCTGATAGCTAGATGTAAACAAAAAAAAGGAAAACATGACTGGACACAACTTTATGTTGCATTTCTCTCTCTGTCCTAGACTTGTCTGGTCCTAGGTAATATGGTATACTGTGGTAATTTTAAATCTTAGTAATAAAATTTGCCGTGCACATTGGGGGCAGGGGAGTCCCGTGATAACAATTGTTCATAATAGCATTGCTTTCGAAATCCGTCAAAATACACTTTACTGCGGTATGAAGAAGTAGATACTGCCCAACCGTACTCTGTCATATAAAATCAGCTTTTTGTTGTTTTTTCTTCTACCTAAACAGCTGAATTGTCACGACTCTGTTCGGGATACGTACTTCGAAGATGGATGGAGAAACTGTTTTAGCGTAGTTTGCAGGGCTGTGGAGTCGGTAGATAAATGCTCCGACTCTGACTCCACAGCCCTGGTAGTTTGTTATAGAGCCATCAGTGGCTGCTATAAAATCTCTGACTTTGCCTGAAAATGCAATTTCATTACTAGGGTTGACCCAAAATTTAAAGCCTATAATATAAAGGAAAGCATGTATATGGCACCTCCCTGAGTGATAGAGGCATTCAGATTTCTTTCAATGAGGGGTTTGTGAAAAATTTTGTGGTTCTGAGTGTACCTTACCTATTTGCGTTGCACGTTACACAGAAAACTTAATTTCTTGTGGGCACAGACTAAATCACTCACATCGTACTGGTCTAAAAACCTGGGTGTACTGCTGCCAGTCTCACCCTGGCTGTAAAGTGTGCTGGTGCACACTCTGGCCTAGCTGTGTTCAGCAATTAATGCACGTCACACAGGGAGGCACCACACAGGAGAGGATGGGTCCTAATTTAGTGGTCTAGTGGTGTGCCTGACGTCATTTACAGTCTCCTTAAAGATCTGGTCTGCTTGTTAGCATCTCAGAACTCCGATTTCTGTCCTGTTCCAAATGCTGTTGAACGTCTGATTTCCTGCCTGAGAATCTTATTATCAGATACTGATTGTTGCCGGTGGGTTCATTATAGAAATGAACAAGCAATGAGAATATTTTTGGCTCAGGTTTTGTCAAAGGTGTTTCTCTGCTGGGTAATGGGATAAGACTTTCATTCATGATTTATTAACCGTCAGAGAGACAAAGTGCGGCTGTATCCGGCACATTCTGTCAAGGGCAGAGACTGCAGGGACTGAGGGATTCGATTCCACTGTTTTGCTGCAGTCACGTTTGCGTTACAGTGGTGGCCCTGGTTGGATCGACGCAACTAAAAATCAAAAGAAGTGGTCACTACATGAAATAATGCTTGAAACTATTGACTGTCATATCAATAAGACAATTTATGGTGAAGCAGCCAATGGTGATGGACAAGATTTATATGTAAACCCAAGAGCAATGTTGCACTCCTAGCTGATCTTTGTTCTTACAGCTCGGACACATGCTTTAAGCTGAGATTCAAACAGCCACTCACCATAGAAGAAAATCACATAGGGAGGTAAACGGATGAGTTTAAACTGCTTGTAGCTGTGAAGAGAAGGAAGATGTGTTTCACGATCTGAGGAAGAAGGTTATGCGCATGTTTTGGAGAAGTTTCACGCTGTTGGAGTGAAGCACAGAATTAGCGTTCATGCTCTGTAACTGGGACGGATTACGAGTGATGACTGCTTTTTTTCTCCCCTCTGAAACTACATTGATACCTTTGCGCTGTTCTTTAGTATTGTGACGAAATGTCGCATTGGATTGAATCTTGGCGAGGGCCACGCGGTAGCATGGGACCCGGGTTCGAGTCTCTGCTCTGTCTCTGGATTCTCTGGTTTCCCCCCACAGTCCAAAAACATGCTGATGTTATTTAAAATTGCCAAATTGTAGATAGGCTTGGATGTGTGCGTCCACTGTGGTAGGTCAGCATGCCTTGCACCTATATAATATTTCCAGGACGGCCTCCGGGCCCTGCGACCTTGCATAGGAAATGCTGATATGGAAAATGGACGAATGAATATTGGCTGGTATTGCTTACGCTGGAGAGGCTGCCTTTAGTGGAATAAATGTCTTATTTTTGATTGTGAAAGCAGGAGTGAATCAGTTCATTCGTATGAGAATAATGAAAGTTGAAATGGTTGCTTGGGATAAGAGAGTTCACCAGTTAACAGGTGAATATGCTCTGTCTGCTGCCTGCAGCGCATGCCAAGCCTCCGTATGTACATTAGGAAGATGGTTGCCGCAACTGCAAATCTTCTTTGGCTTCCCAGCTCTCAGTTGGTGATTATAAAGAGGATTAGCAACTGGCCCTTTCAGACACAAACTGTCAGCCAGCTGTCATGTGATCAGCTGCACCAATATGCATGCCTGAAGAGTACATACTGGGTTATCTGATCAGTAAAGTTCTAACTAAGGCTAAAATATGTGGTCGGCCTACATATAAGGGCATCAGGTACCGTATCGTACCAGAGTTAAATTCAAAGCAGTTTGTTTTAGGTCAGGGTTTAAATGGTTAAAATCTTTACTACTAGCACAAATGTTTCTGTTATTAATTCATCTACCTGTGTTTTTATGTGTTGATTTTTGTTTTTGCAATGTTTGTCTGGCTGCTAATATCACAAATAACTTGCAGCCATGAAATGAATGCATCCCTTACCTGTCTGATGCCTTCTGACGTGCTTGTTCCCAGCTAACTCTCTGTCCTCTCCCCGTAGGTCACATCTCGTGCCAGCCTCCCCACCCCCTCCCCCCTCCCGGGTGCCAGCGGCAGGTTGCTATGGAGAACTCCTCGGTGGCGTCTGCGTCCTCGGAGGCTGGCAGCACGCGCTCCCAGGAGATCGAGGAGCTAGAGCGCTTTATCGACAGCTACGTGCTGGAATACCAGGTTCAGGGCCTGCTGAGCGACAAGACCGAGGCGGATGTGGATGGGGAGAAGGCCCAGTCTCATGTGTCACAGGTGGGTGTAAGCTTGCGACTCATTCACTCTCCCAGAAAGGGTTTGATTACCTAGTCTCATGTGTCACAGGTGGATGTGAGCTCATGACCTGTTTGCATACCCCGTAAAGGTTTGATCACTCATCTAATTTACAGTAGAATTTGAGGTCAAAATCCACTCACTCTTGCAGTAAGGTTTTGATTGCTTATCCAGTTTTCAGGTTGGTGTGAGCTCAAGACCCACTCACTCATACAGCAAAGGTTTGATTATTCACTCAGTTTTCGGGTGGGTATAAGTTCAAGATCCACTCATTTACCCAGTAAGGGTTTGATTACTCACCTAGTCCCATGTGTTGCAGGTTGGGTGTGAGCTCATGACCCATTCCCTCACCCGTTAAGGGTTGATTACTCATCCAGTTTACAGGTGGATGTGAGCTCAAGACGCACTCACTCATTTAGTAAGGGTTTAATTACTCATTCAATTTTCAGGTGGGTGTGAGCTTGCAACCCACTCACTAGCCCAGTAAGGGTTTCATTGCTTAGCTCAAATTTGGTCTGTAACTTGAACTGAACATAGAGGGAATGTGTGACATACAGCTTGAATGGAGTGTTGTGTGGCTCTATGCCTGTGATCAGATGGTTGTTGGTTCAAATCCCATGGTTGACAGTGATTTTATTGTTGGGCACTTGAGCAAGGCCCTTAATGCCAGTTAGTCCAGGGACTGTCTGATCTTCACTTCTATGTTGCATTGGACAAAAACATCTGATAAATCTGTAAGAACTACGAACATGCAGCCTTTGAGTTAATAACAGAGATAGCTGATAGCACTGAATCCACAGCAGGCATTCCTTAGTCAGAGGTTAAGCCTCTGTGTCTGTGATCAGAAGGTCGCCATTTTAAGCCCGGCCTCAGCAGAATAGTCACATCTGTGAGCCCTAGAGCAAGACCCTTAACCCCCAACTCCACGGGGCCCCTGCAGGCGGCTGCCCTTCGTTGCCAAGCTCGCCCCCACCTATATATGTATCTATGTGTCATGGGGAGCAAAATGGGGTAGGGTGGGAAGAGAATTTCCCCATGGATCAATAACGTTTCATTTCAGTTTTCATTTCAAATTTTTAAAGATGCCTTTATCCTCGGTGGCATATGCAGCTTTTGGGGAGAAGCTGTGTGTTTGTGCTCCGTGGTGGAAAATGGGTAGAGCTGCTAGGAGGGAAGAAGGTGCAACACTGCCCCAGACGATATGGGATGTGCCAATTTGGGATGTGCCGATTTGGGATGTGCCGATTTGGGATGTGGCAAAGAATTGAACCTGCAGTGGAGTCCAGCCTTACAGACATGCATATTGTGATATTTTTCTTAATAATGTCCAGAAGTTGTCAAAAATGCCCCATGACCATAATACACAGGGTTTCCGATGTAATGGGGTTTAATTGGAAGCTCAGCCTAGCTGCACTTACACGTGGTCGACTCCCTTACAGCATGAATGTTTGCAACGTGCTATTTGCCTGTCTTGGACAAAATTGTCTGATAAATATGTAAATGTAATAGCTGGAAGAATCTTTACTGTTTTATGAAATGCATGTTGGATAATAAAAATAGCTACAGGTTATTCATACAGATAACCAGTTTGTGAGACTTTGTTCCAACTGGTATGGTGACCGGAACCAGACAGACTGGACTGAGACAGATGAGTTAAATATGGCAAAGAGGCCTCAGTATCCATCAGTGGGTCGAATCTATTGAAAGGTTTATTCATTCCGAGACAGCTGTTCTGCTTCTATTTTAGGGGATTTTTTTTATTTGGACTGCTGGAAACTGTGTGTGTTCTTAAATAATTATCGCTGAATTAAGGCATTATGATGTTTTGATGATCCTTATGGGAGGGGGAGTGAGCAGGGTGGGGGTGTGTTTTTAATAGTGCCACCTGCCTGCCAGCCCTAGAATCGTTGTAAATATTTTATTTTGCCAGCCAGTAATCTCGACTAGGCTTTTTTTTTGTGCTCATGCTTTTTAGACGCTTGAATTTCCTCCCTCAATTCCCTTGTCTGCACTTTTTGCTTTCTTGTGGCACTGACCTCATCCTCGTCCCACCCTGCCCTCAGCCTGGTGCCCTCAGCCTGGTGCCCTCAGTCTGGTGCCCTCAAAGTCTCCCTGCCACGTGGCTCTGTTGTGGTTCCTCACAGATGTGTTTGAGACAAGCCTCTCAATGCTGTAGTGAATAGTTATACCTCTTAAACCCGACAATGGCTGGAATGTTCTAACAGGTTAATGATACACAATTCCTACAATGAAACTGGCTGCTATGCTGTTTGTTTTTTTTTTTGTTTTTTTTTTTAAAGAATGTGCCCTGAGTAGTGACGACAGGAACATGTGACATGTCTACACTCGAAAACCAGGTTGTCTGCATAGTTTCTCATGGTATATCTTGATGGTAGTCTTGTTTTTGACAAACATCAAATCAAAAAAGCCGTACTGTTTTTAAATATGTTATTTTCTTGCATTTATTTTGACCGCCTGGTCTCTGACATCTGTATCTCCCTGAAGAATTCACACAAGTGTGTGCCTGTGTACTGCACATTCTCCCCTTTGAAAGTCTGGTAGTTTGTAATTAGTAATTCACATAAATCCCAGGTTTATTATTCTGTGATGGCTTTAAGTCTGATTTATTAGTATGTGTGTTGGAACTAGCATAGCCAAGATCTCAGCCAAGACTGATTAATACTGTGTTTAAAGCATAAAATTATACCACAATTACACCAGAATAAACCCGCATTTAGAAACGACCTATTATGTTGTCCTTAAATTACTGTTTGTATAATTAATTAAACTATTAATATTGCTACACACTATAATTTGTAAAGTCAACTTGGATGAAATATCAAAATGTTTGACACTGCTTATTATCATAATGCAGGGGTAACCTTTACAAATTGTAGGGATTTATATGATATGTGAATTACGGAAATAAATACTTACTTTGGCTCTTGTATTAAAAAAAAATAAAAAAATGCTTTTTTGTGGTTTTTTTTTTCCCCCAAGTTGATTTTTTACACAGAATCCGGTTTGGGCTGCTCTTTCCAAATTGTTGTAAATGACAAGAAGCCTAACTTATCTGTCACTGTCACCCCCTCCCCCCCCACCTCCCCATTTCTCACAGTGGACTGAATACTGCAGTGACAAGATAGATGGGAGCTGGTCGTCGTCTCGAGGGAGGGGATCTACCAAGCCAGTAAGTCCCATTGCTGTGTCCGGGTCGCTGCCCACAGAGCAGATGGCGGGAGATGACCGCCTCCCCTTCATGCCTGCATGCAACTTTCTGAAGATTTCCGTTCTATACCTAACACCACAGGAATCACTCTCATCAGTAGTCCTAACACCACAGGAATCACTCTCATCAGTAGTAAACTTAATGTCTGCATGGACTGTTCATATACTGAACATGAAATAAAGTATAAATATATTATTAATATTTTATGTATGTAAACATGTATCTGTGAGTGTGTGTATTCCTAAAAGCAGGTGACTAGCAGGAAACTCATTCGAATCAGCTAACATAAATGTTATTAGAAAGCATTCAGTTTGGAAGATGTTTCATTTTATCTCAAAATAAGTTCTGATTTCAAGTGACAGACTAAACGTGTTAGTTGCCTTTCTATCCATTGTGAGCTTGCCCTTGGCTTTGCATTTGACTGGTTGCTAGGAGACCAAACTCCCATACAGTCTGGAATGATACTGGCCAGGGCTGGCAAAGCCCTAATTACTGTCTCCCGTCACCCTCAGGGCAGTTAATCATTCAGGCTGTACGAGTCTCCATTCCGACCCGCTGTTTCCCCTGTTTGTTTGGAGGCTTGTGTTTACTGTGGACCGGCTTAGCACCGCACATACAGGAAGTGTCTTCCCAAGTCCCGCCCCTTCCTGTCACCTGTGTGCTGGCAGCGCTCTGGGCGTGTGAGGCCTCCTCTCGCGTCTCACCCAGCCACATTCCTCCGATTCCTCTACGGATTTTGTTGTTGACGTGCCACTGGGATGGAGAGCTTCCTCGGCTGTTTATTAAAACCCCTGTTAAAAACTCTTTATCAAGACTGCTGAGCTCATTTGGCAACAAAAAATCAAGCTGGAACATTTTATGCTATATAAACATTGTTTGATAAGCAACCAATACAAACTGGTGTCTCTTCTGATACTGAAGGAATGTATTTACGAGTGTCAAATTGAAAGAGATGCAAATGTTGTCTGGTGTCCCAGGTGATGAATAATGTAATGCGTCCTTCAGCCTCTCAGGCAGTGCTGTCCTGACACGCCCCATTTCAAAGCTTGTTTGTGTCCTAATTTTATACCGACGTGGTTACATTCTTAAAAACTAAAAGTTTAGTTTTTATAAATTTTACTGATTGGCTGTATTTCTTCTGCTTTTCATACGCCGATTACTTTGATAGCTTTCATCCAGCTTTCTAAATATAATGGCACTAAACCTGCGTTCCTGCTTCCGTCGCATTTCTGCTTCCGTTATGTAGAGGTGATTTGACAACATTGTGAGGTCAGACTGCCACCTGAAGCTCTGGTAAAAGAGAGACAACTTTGTCAGACTGTGGTAATATTTATGTTGTGTTGACAGTTGTGGGGGGGGGTTGTGCACCTGTTTCCTGTGTCCCATGGAAATATAGTTATCAGAAGCCAGCAGGCGGTGCAAAAGGCTGCTTCTAAATCCCGCTGTCTAAAACCGCTCTACTGCTGGGTATTTAATTGAGCATTTCACTATACCGATTCCCCATTCGTGAAAGTGCGATGTCCGAAATTTCCCTTAACCTGGAGAATCAGTGTTCAGAATGTCTTTTTCCTGAGTGCTATTTTCAGCTGTGTAAGCTTCTGTTTTTGTTCTGCTTGCCTTACTTCTCTTTCCCCTCCATGTGATTATATTCTGAGTTTTTTAATGAATTGGTTTACTATTGATTACCTTCTTCCACTGAATTAGGGATGCACGATATTGGATTTTTGCAACTAAGATATAAGACAAGATTCCTTTTATCATCATTACACAGAGTACAATGAAATTGAGTATATTTGAGTAACAAATATCACTTCAAAATAGAAAAATGGTAAAGCTACAAATTAAACTGATTGAAAGTACTAAAAAGAAAATGTTATGCAAATATAAAACATGCTAGTATATTTTTGTGGTTATGTATACAAATAGAACGTGTATTGTTGTAATCTAAACAGCAGCTGAGGTACTGCCCTATCGGATATTGCAAAATGAGGTCCAGGTTACTGTACAAACATGCAAACAGAAGCATAGATGTAAACATGAAAACGAAAGTTGGTGCAGTGTTCTGTAGACGCAGTAATTGTTGTGGTGTTGATGGTCCGTATTTCAATATTTTCAAGCTAATTTTGGCAGCTACTGATACCATTACATAAACACATATTTGTCTTTATGCCGTTCAGTGGCAGTGTTAATAAATGAGTATTGTTTTACCCCTTGTCACATTACTGTTACTTTAGAAGCATTGCAAATAGCATGTTATCTGTTTCAGAAAATACTTTTAAAATACTTCCATACAGCTGACATGAAACTTGTTGCATTACGGTGTTGGCCTGGCTCATCGGTAGAAATTTTCGTTTCAGCCGATGTCGATAATGAACTATTTAAGCTTTTGTTGCCCGATACCGATGCCGTGCCAATATCATGGTGCGTCCCCAGTTTTTATGCTTTGTCATTTATTTCTGTAGTCTTCATAAACACAGAATACAGTATTTCACTTTCACTTTCTTCATAAACACAGAATATAGTGTATTTCACTTTCACTGTCTTCATAAACACAGAATACAGTGTATTTCACTGTCACTGTCTTCATAAACACAGAATACAGTGTCGCTGGCATGGTAGCTCAGCAGGTAGCACTGTTTTGTCACACCTTCAGGGTCGGGAGGCGTTTGTGTGGAGCTCGCATGCTTTCTCCATGTTACACGATTTTCCTCCTGCAATCCAGAGACACGCACTTAGGTTAACTGGCGCCGCTGTATTGCCTGTCATGTATAACTGTGTATGGCTGTCATTTCATCCTGGCTGCACGCTGGACTTACACCCTCTGCTGCCCAGAATAGGCTCCTAGACCTGTAGAATTTTCTTTCGTCACTAGTTACAGATTTAACCACTATTTCTGCAAATCACAAAATGCCCTTCTTAGTCTGCATGTTTTTTGGGGTTCAATCTGTTGATATGAAATGGGCAGGTTCCCCCCCCCCCATAATATATAATGAGAACAGTGTTTCTGATTTACTATGGAACAGTCCTGGGTCATATACAGAGTGAGGAGTGTGTCTGATTGGTCTCTCTCCATGGAGTGTGTCTGATTGGTCTCTCTCCATGGAGTGTGTCTGATTGGTCTCTCTCTGCTAGCACTGCTTTTTCCAGTCCTCTGTGCATGACTTTGCATTGATATTGTCTGGAGCAGGGGTGTCAAACTCCAGTCCTGGGGGGCCGGAGCCCTGTGTAGCTTAGTTCTTTCCCTGTTCCACCATAAATGATTCAGCTCTAGAGCTGTGTGGTAATTAGCACGAGGAGTTGAATCAGGTGTGTTAAATGAGGGGTAACCCAAAACTGTGCAGGGCTCCGGCCCCCCCAGGACTGGAGTTTGACACCTGAGGTCTAGACGTTTTTATGTACAGGTCATGATCTGGATAGCTAAACAGCGCAGGATTTACACACAGGAAAAGTTCCTGGTTTACAGTAGATCCCAGGACAGGTGATGAGTTAATTCCTTCACTTCACCTTCTCATTGTCCATAATATACATTGGCAGTGTCTTTCCTCTTGTGGCCCCTAAATGTAACCCGGGGCCCTGATACCCAGTCACACATTCTGTTGTGACCCTTCCCATGACCCATTGCTGTTTTGTTTTCCGCTGTGTTTCCGCTGTGCTGAAACCAAAACACCCGTCCTTTTGGTTGATGTTCCTCTCCACCATTCTGTTAAAGCAACTCTACTCCTCTGCACAAGTAACGTGACTATTCTGTCTGTCCGTCTTTATGGAGCATTGTTCTATTGATATTTGAATTGTAATCTTGAGCCCTGATTAAACGTTACTTAAGTATTTACATTTTTATTTAATTAACATAAAAATAGCTAATGGTCTGTTCATATCTATTAATAAATATTAAAAAGCACAATACAGAACAAGAACCACCACATTGATTTATTAAATGCTTAATTTGGAATTAAATGTATTTTTTTTACATATCTTATATAACAATATACACTTTTTTCTGGTTAAAATGTCTTGGTTTGAAGCAAACTGTAATAGACCGAAAATTGGGAGCAAACCTTTTGTGGTGACGTGGGCATTTTTGTTCTGTCATCTGTTCAGAAATCGATCTTTTCCGATAGTGGAAGCTGTAGCTCAGTTTTAGATAGAGGCATAAAGATGCATTGAGAGAGCTCAGTTTCACCAAGTAGCTCCGACGCTAATTCGACACGCTAATTCAACCAAAACAGGGCTGACGATGACCGATCACTCACCGGCACAATGGGTAATCATCACCTCTAACAGATGTCCTGACAGCTTCCCACGGATACACAATATTTTGCTTAACATATCGATATTGGCCGATATTCATTAAAAATCAATATAGCTGCGTTGGTCGGATGTATCAGTCTTGGCCGATTTATTTAAACTTTACCAATATTCAAAATTAGCAGCAGCAGACCAAAATACACAACTGCTAAAACAATGGAGATGAGAGCACTGGATGGTCAGACATTTTCCGTATTGGAGGAAGAGGGATTTCATCAGCTCATTCACCACTTAGAAGAGATCATCAAGTACCAGCCCACAAAATGTTTATAATTCATTATTTGGCTTAAACTTGGTCGACTTTTGTTTTCCTCAGAGTATAAAACAGCGTACCGTCCTGTGTGTATAGGTGTGTGTGTGTGTGTGTATTCCACCTCTAGTTGGCCTAGGTGAAAGTAGGCAGTTATGTATAAATAACATTATGTTTCTTTTGTACAGTTCACTACTTGGCTTTTTGACAGTTTGCACTGGCTTTTTCTCACGGTTTAATAATAATGAAAACGAATGTTCGGAGATTCTGCTTTCTTTGTATTCCATTAACTTTGTGTAATTAAGTTCTCATGGTCCATATTTGTGAATTCTTTTCAGTGAAGTAAAAGGTTTGAATTTTGGCAATGAAAATAATTGATTAATCGATTCAAGAAAATGAAAGATTTCTAATGTATCGAATTGTTCCCTGAAGATTCATAACTGAATCGAATTGGGGCAGATGGTTTACACTCCTATGTTCAGAAGATAATGTTGCATTTTTAGATACTGATTTTTTGGGGCAAAGACAGGAGGACATTGTAACTGAATCCACCAGAGCGGCATCTGACATGTTATGGAATCCTGTTGGCTTGCCGGTTTATAATACGTAATGTAAATGTTCATTTTTTGCATCTTGGTTGTGAATCAGGCCTGTGGTTTGTACAGGGCATTATGATTGTGATGATTATGCTATGTGGGCAGTGTGGAGCTCAGCAGGTCGGCTCTCTGTGCCTGTGTTCAGAATGTCTCCGGCCCAAATCCCATGTTTACCTTAGTGGACACATCTCTGGTGGCCTTTTGATCAAGGCCCTTAACGCTCCAAAACAACACTCCAGGGGACCTGGGTGGACAGCTGACACTGCTCTGACCCCAAGCTTCACTCTTGCCTCTATATCTTAGAAAGGTGAGCAGGATGGGACATGAGAAAATGAGCACTCTGCATTGTAGCTGTTCTCATGCTTGTATAAATGGCAGTTAAAGCTTCCCTTGTTTGACGTGACGCGCGTATCGTGTGCAAGGCAGGACGGGGTCGCTGAGCGGCCGACCTTTGCCCTCCAGTGCCATGCTGGCTTACCTTTACCTTCCTGGATAAACACACCTGCTCCCTAGACACTGCCAAGCCGCGCCCCGCTTATGTGGCACCCCCCCTCCGCAAACAGGCCTCCTCCCCCGTCGCTGGTGTGCCCAGTGCCTTTCAAGGAAGTGAGCCATCCGAAGGGCTTTCCTGTTTTCCCCCTATCCTTCGCTCTACCATGGCCCAGTCAGAGCGTCAGGTAAACCATTTGGGGGTGGGGGGAGGGGTGCTCCTGGCGTGTTCAGCTGCCGCTACACTCCGCTGTGTGTTACTGTGTTACTGCCGCTTTCCTGTTTTATCGCTGGATACGTGCGGTGCTTTTGTCACGCAGGTCACTGTGTCTACGGCTCGGGTTTCAGGTCACGGCAGAGCCGTTACCACGTCTGCTGTCCTGACGCCCTGCCGATTACGGGCTGCTCGCGTCTGTGTTCCGTTTGTAAGGAAGTGACATAATCCCACCGAGGGTACAAATACGCTTGTTTATTTAACAGACGCTTTTGTCCGAAGCGAGGACCAGAGCACAGGGTTAGATGGTGACCCAGGAGCAATTGGGGTTAAGGGCCTCGCTTTACAGCCCAACGGTGATATAACTCTGCCCGTAACGGGATTTGAACCAACGGCCTTCCAATCACCAGTACAGAGCCCTAACTTGCAGGTCCGCACATCACCCCCAGTTAGTAGTAGCAGTTACACTGTTTCACCTGCTGGTTTCTTGTTTAGGATGTCTATCATTTGTCGAAACCATAACGCTGTCTTTCAGTAAAAATGCTTTGCCCTTTGTTTTGTATGTGAATGCAGATGCATGCAGTTTTTAAAAAGCTGAATTACATTTGGATTAATTTTAATCTATGGAAAAAATTATAAAAGTTATGGCCTGAGGTTCTAGGTTAATTTTCTTTTTTGGGTGGTGGGTGTCTGAAATTGTGAAGAAGCTTAACAGGTGATGGACTACGCTGGTATTTCTGTACTGCTGAGTTTGTGTAAGCCGCAGTTTCAGTAAAACACTCTGTTTGAAATCCAAATTGCCTATGCTGAGCTCATTGAACAGCTGGAATGGAACTCTATGTCATGAGCAATATAGCTGAATTTTTAAATTTTTTACTATCTTAATATGCACTGTTTTAAAGCTTCTTTGTCCTGTTAAATAAGGTGAATTTGTTCAGTCTGTTTTCATTTGCTTTGTTATGGTAACTTGATAAGTCCCTATAGGCTGATTGAAATTTCTCATAATATGATGGTTAATTATAGACTTCCTGCTGAATAACTGAATAACATTGTGTGCCGGGTTCATATAACTTGCTAATTAAATTGTTAGTGCTCTACGACTTTTCATTTGTTTGTTTGTTCGTTTGTTCTTTCTCTTGATTTATTTATAACTGTGTTGTTTCAGGATGACTGGGAGCACAGCAGCAATGGCAGCACTGGATCACGACCCAGTTCAGGGTCCCGGCCCGGGTCTGGATCTAGGTCAGGCAGTCGAGGGCGGAGCAATCAATTCCGAGGCCCTGCAAAGGTAATACATGGCAAATCCGGCACAGTCATCCTCAGCTGAAATTCTACTCTGTCTGCGTTGCCTAGTACTGATACCTGTCTGTAGACAGCCTGTGCTGGGATTCAGATGCTTGCAGATTTTAAAGTGAATATTTTAAATGCTGCAGTGTCCTGGTGGGAGAGAACTCATTAGACTGTCATTATTGTTGAGAGTCTCATTGAGTTTGATGCTCATTCTTCTTCTAATCTGTTCCTTTCTGAATGTTTCTTCCTTGTTTATTTTCAAATTAACGTATCTTGATATAAGAAACCTGTAGTTTTACCAGAAGGCAGCTTAATAGCTTGATCCAAGGTACTTCTGTGCAGCTGATTTCTCTTACCTTTAGAACAGCAGAGTGGCAACTTGTGCTGCTGTGTGCCTGACAGGAGCGTGAGCCGCAGTACAGCCGTTACTATGCTCTCTGCCTCCTGCCACATACATACTGTGGAACCCTTTGTTCAAATGGTGCTATTGATACCATTGTCAGACACAGTTAGTTGCCTTATTGAGCAGCTGACGTCACGCACACAAACACATAGACACAGGCGCGCACACAAACACATAGACACAGGCGCGCACACAA